TGGCCAGTGACAAGCGGGGTCTCCCAGGGCTCTGTCCTGGGGCCGATCCTGTTTAATCTTTTCATTAACGACATGGAAGAAGGGGTGAACAGTCTGCTGATCAAATTTGCAGACGCCACTAAAACTGGAGCAGTGGCCACAACTGAGGAGCAGGTACTCCAGATCCAAAAGGATCTGGGCAGACTATGGAAGTGGGCAGGAGACAACAGGATGGCGTTCAATGTGGATAAGTGCAAGGTCTTGCACTTGGGGCATAGGAATAGCTGTCATAAGTACAGGTTATGTGATAAGTGGCTGGAGAGCAGCACTTGTGAAAGGGACCCCGGGTGCTGGTTGACTGCAGGCTAAACATGAGTCAGCCGTGTGATGTGGTGGTCAAGAGGGTGAACGCCACCCTTGGTTGCATAGCCAGAAGTGTGGCTTCTAGATCAAGAGAGGTATTACTACCACTCTACACGACTCTAGTGCACCCGCAACTGGAGTATTGTGCTCAGTTTTGGGCCCCTCATTACAGAAGGGATATAGCCATGTTGGAGTCAGTGCAGCGAAGGGCCACAAGGTTGGTGGCCAGTTTGCAGGGGACGCCATGTGAGGCGAGACTGAGAGAACTGGGTCTCTTCGGCCTGGAGGAGACTCGGAGGGGATCTGTTGGCGACATACAGGTATGTGAGGGCATGTCACATGGAGATGGGTAGAGACCTGTTCTCCCCTGCAGAGGAAGGCAGGACGCGCTCCAACAGGGCAAAGCTCAGGGAGCCAAGGTTCAAGTTGGATGCCAGGAAGCACTTCCTGACAGTCGGGACCCCGGGGGTGTGGAATGGGCTTTCACGAGAGGTCGTTGAGGCCCCATCGGTGCGGGTGTTCAAGGATAGGCTGGACGTCCACATGGTGGGCATGTCGTGAGCGGAGCTGGCTGGTCAGACTAGATGGCCCGGGAGACCCCTTCTGACTCGCTCTGTTTTCTATGTTTCTATGTTTCTCTTCAATTTGAGAATTCGAATTCATTGAATTCGAATGAAGAGAAGAGGAATGGACAAAGAAAGGAACTCCATGTGGATGCCTAGCTACAAAGGTGGTGTCAACATGAGAGATTTGGATTCTGGGACCATGGGCTACACGTCCTGGAAGATGGAGCACGGGCAAGGGATGGGCTGCACCTTGCAAGAAGTGGGAAGAAGGTGCTTGGTCATGGCATGAAGAGGTGTATCAGGGCGGCTTTAAATGGAATCCTGTAGGGGAAAGAAGAGTACACTTGGGTCTAACGAGAGACAAAGGCTTATGCAGCACAACAGGCAAGCGGGAAAGGGTTCAGAGGAGGGCAACAAGGATGATGTATTGACTGGAAAAAAGATCTACAAGGACAGATTGAAAGAACTGGCCATGCTTAGCCTCAAGAGGCGAAGACTGAGGGGAGATAGGGAAGCAAAGAGGGAAGGCCAGGATCTCTTCTCGATCATCTTAGAGTGCAGGGCACAGAATCATGAGCTCAAGTTGTAGGAAGCTAGATTCTGGCTAGATATCAGGAGGAACGTCCTGACTGTTAGAGGTATATGAGAATGGGACCAGGGACCTAGGGTGCTTGTGGGCCAGGAGGGATTCCAGATGTGACTGGACAGCCATCTGAGAGGGATGGCCTAACTCAGTGTCCTGAATTGAGCCGTGTGTTGGACCTGATGGCCTTCTGGCCCCTTCCAGCACTACTGTTCTGTGATTCTGTAGATTCATTATGGGTTGAACCTGAAGTCTCCAGCTTTAGATTGTCTCTATAAGTCTTACAACCAGAAGGCACAATCATTTCTGCCAACTCTGCTCTCTACTAGACAGCCGCACCATATCAGTCCTTCCTGCATTTTCTTCCGAACCTCACTTCTCGTGATTTTTGCTCCATCCTTGCCGTGTTTGCAGTCAGCATTGACATCATCCCCACCTTCTTTCCAAAAGTACATCTGTAACTCCCCTTCAAGCAGCTTTTCCTTCCCTTCTCGGAATCCCTGAAGAAGATGCCCGGCTTGGACTACCATCGCCGCCTTTTCTAAAACTCCCTGCGCGGGGGGTATATGGAAGGGGGAATTGGATTGCAGGCGTGTGAGTGGGTTGGGATGTTTGAACTGGTGACAGTAGATGCGTATGACCGAAAAGATTTGCACTTTGCTTTTACGTTCCAAAGCAAGACTGTAGCCTCGGAAATGGATTTGATGTCCAGTGCATGCAGTGGGACAACTTTTAATTGTACTCAGCTTTTTAAATGCAGTCGCGGCTGTACAGAACTTTAATGAGCCACAGTTTGACCATCGCCACTAAGGGAGTTTAATGGATGTCCGTTGGCAAAATAGCACACACTTTTAGCTTCCTTTTTGCCACTGTAATCTGCATTGAAGACTTGGGGGAGGGTGGGCTGTAAGTTGAAATAGGCTCACTTGAAGCTGTCGAAAGCTAAGATGGAATAGCAGGGTGTGCCATGCTCCATAATCAGAGAACGTCTATTCTTTCCTCTGACTCATGGTACTGGCTCGATGGCTCCTTTTCTTTGACCTGGAAAGCCTGTTCTTTGAGCCTTGTTTATTGCTATTCATCCAGCTTCAAGCAGCTTGTTCAAAAAGTCCTGGAAGTGATCCTGTGTCCCCGTTGACAAATAGCATTTCTAAAACGGACTTAATAAAATGAAATTGAATTAAATAAGATAGCTTTCCGGAAATTGGAAATGCAATTTGGAACGAGGAGGGTGCCCAAAGGGCAAGATGCCAAGAGATTGTGGAGGCTGGTGAAACGGTGTTTGCTTGCGCTTCGTGGAAGTGCTGCTTGTCGGGGTCTCTCAATGTGCTGCTTTGGATCTTGAGAATTTGCTGAACAGTCAGCAAGGCACCACTATCAGCATGCGTTTCCTGGTAGTCGCATGGTTGCTATAAAATAAAAAGCAGGATTATTTGGTCTTCTCTCTCTTTCTTTTCCCAAATCCTTTACATAATTAAATTATCGCACTTACCAGTGCCAAGCATTTGTGACTCTCCCAGGGAGGGGTGGGCAACTTGTGCCTTGTGGTTGTTCGGATCTACAACCTGTCGCTCATCACCATTGGCTATGCTGCCCAGGGCTGATGAGAGTTGTCGGCCCAAACTTCTGGAAGGTTTCAAATTGCCCGTCTCTGCACCGAGGGGCATTGTGCGCTCTGGGAGTCAAATCAAGAGTTTAGTCTTTTTTTTCCTTTTGTGTACTGTTAACCTCTTACTGTTAACTTTTTATTGGAATGAAACTTCCAAATGCAAACTTCGAAAAAATGCAGAAATCAAAGCAAAACATGTCTCTCTCTACTTACTGTCGCTCTTTCCTGTAGCACTATTTCTTTCTTGCATGCCATTTCTTATCATTTTAAATAGTTCTTGCATTTTAATAGATAATCTTCTGCATATATGACATATGTGCTGGTTTTTTACAAATTGTCATTGGCCTCCATTTAATACATAGTCTTTCCCTTTCAGTTTGCCAAGTCTGGCTCAGGTTCGTGACACTCTGTCCACAAACAACTCTTGGCGCTCAGTCTGTAGTGGGTTTTCAGTTCTTCCAGGTCTGTGCTATGGTTGCAAGCATATTCTTGTAGGTACTTGCAACTCCTTCATCAGCAAGCCTTAACAGTATTGGAAAGAAAGGTGGAGTTATCAGGTACCCCACAGTAATTTATTTTATCTGGTCTATTAATACTGTAATGTCCATCTTGGTCCCGAGGGTGAGGCAGTTACGGTGCTCCAAGAAGGTTGGACTACAGTTCGTGTGTAGAGAAGCAGTCTGTCGCAGCGGATAAAGAGCCAAGGGTAGGAACGGCAGTGCCAGAAGTGGTCTGGACAGAGAGGGCGTCTCCACCTTCTCGTGGGTCTTTGCTGAAAGTCAGGACTGGGTGCAGAAGTGATCCAAGAGAGTTACAGGATATTGGCAGCCTGGCTTGGAACACTGTCAGCACCCTAGCAGGGAAGATCCTACTGCTTCTGCTTGGACATCTCCAAGTGAATTTTTTATTTTTATTTTTGTTGGTCAGATTCCTTTCATGCATTATCAAATATCAGTCACTTCTGAAGTGTCAAGTTGTTCAGAGAAACACAAAACAATCTGGCTTCCTGCCCTCTCTTGGTGCTAGTATCTTCACTCACAGGTCATGGAAGAAAAGGTGACCTGCCACCTGCGTTGTGCCATTCTTGTCACCCTGAAATATTTGACACTGCTTGATGATGTAGTAAGTTCACCCGTGTGTCTGTCCTAACCAGTCTCTCAGGATTTGGGAACCTGAATTCTAGTCCTCCAGGGCTGATCAAGCTGGTAATGTGATAGCCAAGATCCAGTATCTCAATTTCCCATATCTTTTTCATTATACTGCGGTTCATTTTGGTGATATGTTATTGGCTAGTATTATTTGTGTGGGTGGTAGGTGTCTTTTAAAAAATAGCCTTGATTTTGAGGCAGATTATTTTTGGCAGGCTGCTATTTTTTTGAGACTCGGTTATTTCCTTCTCTTTCCCTTCCACCACTTCTTCCAGGAGTCTCTTTATTTTGCAACCCTCTTTATTTGTGTAACCCTTTAATATACGGGAAGATTCTCTGCCTTAATTGCCCAACAAGTCTTTTATGAGTTGATCAAACGAAAATAAGCAAGGTGGCTGGCTTCTTTCCTGGCAAGGCTCCTGTGTCTTTAGCAGCTGTATGACAGATCAACGAAGAAGTTTGGCAGGGGAAGCTATTCCCACTGTGGAGCTACAGGCATAGTTATACAGTTGTTAAGAGCACAAAAACCTTGTAAGAGAATGAAGCTGGGAAGTCTAAGATGAAGGGACACGGAACTCTTTGTAAAGTTATACTGCCAATCAGACTTCCAGATAAGCCTCTAGTTCTTCATGGTCTATTTGGTCAGGCTGCTCAATGAATGTGAGAAGTGATGGGGAGGCTAAACCAGCAGCATTTTATTTTTCTGCATCTCTTACTGTTGTTTATAGCATTATTTTTGTTTGCCGTTCTAGAACCGTGGAATGCTGTGAAGACTCCACCTGCCCACAGTCATAGACAGAATACGTTTGCAGCTATTTTCAGCTGAAGGATATACTTCATCTGTAAAAGGTACCAAGCCAGTATATTTCATCCTTCCCTTAAATTGCAGGTCTTCTGTTTTCAGACCCTGGAGCATGCAATACTAGGACAAGTTAAGAAAGACGTTAGAAGAGTGTGCACTATTTCTTAGGTGCAGTGAGATTATAGTCTGCAATAAGATGGAACGTTATTTAGTTGGAATAATGGGGAGGTGTTATAAAATGGCTGCAGTTTTTAATCTTGCATTGGTAAATGTGTGTTCTTTGCTTAATTTTCAAATAATGGTGAATGCTAAATATACTGCTAATTATATTTGGGAGAGCCTGGGAGAAAATGCAGAAAAATTAGGGGGGTATTTTTCCCCCTAGGACCTTCTCTGTGTGTTTTTTTAATTGAACAATTTTGGGTAACAAAATAGATCAATAGAATGTACACTTGGTGCTACGCATCTTTTACTCCCCCAAAATAACCTCTAAAAGCTACATAATAGGAAGAATTTTAGGGGCAGTAGGCACACCACTGTGAATTCTGGGTTAATTAACCTGCAGTCTGCTATACATAAGCTGCCTCCTCTGTGCTCCTTTCTATTTCTTTTGATTACCAACCTGTGATAGTTTGTAGGTTGTGAGTGTGATCGGGTTGTTTAGGGGCTAAGCAATCTAGCAGTAAATCCAGCAAAATTCCAATGATTTTTGCTTATGTGCAAACCTGGTCTTACAAGGAACAAGATATATGATTTGTGGAAACTTTAAATCCATATGGTGGATATTTAAAAAAACCCTATTTCTGTAAGATTCCTGGCATAGTTGTTTCTTCCCTTCCTTTCTGAAATTATTGATCAAACATATTCTTTACTGGTGTACATTTAAGATGCTCCTAATTGTGCTTAGTTTCTCAATAAGTGACTAGAGTAGCCAGATTTTAATATGCAAAGAAAATGTGCTTTCTTCATGGTTCCGTGGGCTCCTGCATTTCTGGACTGGTCCTGGTTGGATGCTGTAGCAGTCAGATAATGTAGTTATAAAACCCATATATGAGAGAAACCTTGCATGTGTTTCCAATAGGGTGGAACAAGGTTTTTACCCAAGGGCTTCAAAAATTCCAGAAATGTTATTCTCTACTGTTGATTACAGTTTGTGCACTTTCAAAACATTTGTACAACCAGATAAATAAACTAAATACATTAACTTAAACAAGCTATGTGCTTTAGTAAGAAAAACTGTCTTTTTGATAGTACTGTTGTGACTTGCATTCTAGAACAGGCAGGACAAAGATGAAACATAGAACTTAAGAAACAGAGCAAGTCAGAAGGGGTCTCCTGGGCCATCTAGTCTGACCCCCCGGCTCCAGCCAGCTCCACTCATGACATGCCCACCGTGAAGTGCGAGCACAGATGTTTGTGCAGGAGTGGAGAGGAGAATTCAGTGGCTTTCATTGGGCAGGAAGAGTGATGATGAAGAGATCTGTAAGAGGCTTGCCTGAGGAGCCTGCTAGGAGCCGGGATAGAAAGAGGAGGAGGGGCAGGTGCCAAGACCTGGGATCCAGACCCAGCAGTGAAGAGCAGCAGGAGTTCCAGAAGTTTTTCTTGGTTTTTTTTAATACCATGGACCTGATTATTATAATATTTAACAAAAATGAAACCATAAAGAAGAAAAAGTAACTGTATAGATTTGAATATATTAATTCCCATACATGCATATCAAGTGTGTGTTTAAATATGTGTAATACGGCTTTTGAAGAGTTATACCGAAACTTCAACAAAGGCAGCCCACATATCTATATCTATGCAAGTGGCCTCCATATAGCACTTGTTCAGTTGGGTAAAGCATCGTTAGGTTCTTAATCCATTGTATTAGAGGAAACACAGAAACATAGAAACAGAGAGAGGCGGAAGGGGTCTCTCGGGTCATCTAGTCTGACCTCCGGCACCAGCTGGCTCCGCTCATGACATGCCCACCATGCGCATGTCCAGCCCATCCCTGAACACCCTCACCGGTGGGGTTTCAACCACCTCCCATGGGAGCCCATTCCGTACCCTCGGGGCCCTAACCATCAAGAAGTGCTTCCTGGCATCCACCCTACATCTTGTTCCCTGAGCTTTGCTCCATTGCAACGTGTCCTGGCCTCCACTGCAGGGGAAAAAAGGTCATGCTCCACCTCTGCATGGCACCCGTTCATGTACCTGTATGTCGCTAGCAGGTCCCCCCTGAGTCTCCTCCTCTCCAGGCTGAAGAGACCCAGTTCCCTCAGTCTCGCCTCATCTGGCTTTCCTTGCCATCCAGCCACCATCCTTGTGGCTTTTTGTGAGAGCCTTTGAGGTATTTGTGGAGGGCTGTCCATCTCCCCACAGTCGTCTCTTCCTGAGGCTGAGCATAGAAACATAGAAGCAGAGCGAGTCAGAAGGGGCCTCCTGGGCCATTTAGTCTGACCTCCGGCACCAGCTGGCTCCACTCACGACATGCCCACCATGTGCACGTCCAGCCTGTCCTTGAACACCCGCACCGATGGGGCCTCAGCCACCTCCCCTGGAAGCCCATTCCACACCCTCGGGGTCCTGACTGCCAGGAAGTGCTTCCTGGCATCCAAATGGGACCTGGGCTCCCTGAGCTTGGCCCCGCGGGAGGTGAGCATTTATCCTTCCATCAAAAGGGCTCAGAGGATCCACTTGCACTGCCCAAGCGTTAACTTCCAAAAAGCAAGTAGATAACTAAGAGGACATATAGGTCAGAAAATATTCTAGTGCTCCAGTACAAAGTTTATCTGTACAGTAGCCTCCTCCTCCTTGAAGTGTAAAAGACAAGCTTCAGGCTGAGGAGCCAGTCCGCCAAGGCACACAAATTCATCTGGGTTGCCATGGGTGTTGCAGTTTGTATGATTTAAACTGTTCTTGTGGTGACTTGCTTGAGCTAAATAAGGTTTTTGCCTACCCAGGTCCCTGCACCTCTTTCTGCTCATCCTGCTCCTTCGGCCATGTTATTTCTTTTTTCCCATTGAGCAAGAACTGGTAGCTGTGGATCGATTATTGTTTTTCCTGAGAAAGTTCTGGTGATCATGTTGTATCACTTTTTTTCTGAGCACACTGTTGCAATGGGCTAGGGAATTTTTATCAGGCCCTTTTCTGCTTCCTGCTCTGAAGCCAGCCCGCTCGAGTACCTCGCTTAGGAAAAATAATCCTGCTGATGCTCAACTGCCACCGAGAGAAAAAACAGAGAAAGAAAGGAAAGTGTGTGGTTGTGATATGCCTGCTCACCTGGCTCTGGGCTAAAGTTATTTTAGTTCGTGATTGCAGAGAGGAAAAGTTCTGGAAAAGTTTTAGTTTGTGATTGCAGAGAGGAAAAGTTTTCTTGTTTTATCATTTCACCGGGTTTGTCATTGCATGGAGGAGAAGCAACGGAAGCTCTGGCGCTTTTGCGTAGGAAAATTAGATGCTGTCTATCCTTGGGCTACCCCTCGGTCAGCCCCTGTTCTCCACCTCCACTGACCTGCTCTCTGCCCCAGTGGGCCGGCTCATTGCAAAACCCCTGCATGGGGCTTTACTGATAACGGAAGACAGCCCCTCATGAGGAATCCGTTTGATAACGGTTCACGTTTTGCAAAGGTAGCATGAAAGAGAAGAGTTTCGGTAGTGGTGACTAGAAATGTACCGAAACAAGGAAGTCGGATTTGTTTGAATTTGCATCTGATCCAATGGTGCAGGGAAGGATTGCATCTGTGGGTTCCGTCTATGATGGAACTTGGATTGCACACGTCTTCTGAACTGATCATTCAGTTTATGCAAATAAGCACCCCAAGGCCACATGGCTCTAGCAAATTATGCAAACTTGGTCAAATCGTGCAAATCGGCCAGTTCTGCACCAGTCTTACTAGAGCCACATGGTGTCCAGCTGCTTATTTGCGCACCTTTCAGTCGCCATTAAAATAGAAATGTGCAGATCGTGGTGCATCATAGAGGCAGAAATCTGCACTCTGGCTTGACTCCGACCACACTGAATCAGTGCCCGTGCAGGACTAAGGAACTGGACTCCAGGGAGGCTGCGTTGTGAAAACCCATCAGCTTTCCACACCCTCATCAGATTTCTCACACATCCTGAGCAGTGGGCAAATGTGGTGGGCAGGATGTCGAAGCTCATTTGGGAAAGTCGCAGGATGCCAGTGGCAGGGTGGAATCTCTCTTTCCCCCAAGATTTCCCACCCCTCTTGGCCTCCTTTTCCGTTAAGCATGAACTGCCGTACCACCTTGCTTATTATTGTTTTGAGTTTGTCGCAGTTGGCTTTCTGTCATGGCATGGCATTATTTAAAAAGGAAAGATGTTCTGGATGCTTTTGTGAGGGCTGAATCCAAAAGAAAACTGCATAAACATCTTCGGACCTAACTCAAACCCAGAACATGAAAGGGGCTTGCTGTGAGTGGATCCTGGTAAGTGACCAGCTTAGTGGTTTCCTGCTTCATGGAAAATTACAGCACTTCTCCAGCACCGTGGCAGATCTTTATGTGGCTGGAGTGAGATTACAGCACAAGGTTCACTCCTTTGTACCTGCTTTTTCATGGTGCCTTCCCATCGAGCATATACTGCATGGCTCTGCCTTCAAATGCCTGGCTGGAAAGAGGTGCTGATACTTCAGATGTATAATTTACAGCCCTTTCCTGGTGTGCCAGTCTTGTTTGCATTGGTGTGTCCTCTGTGTGTAGCCTGCCAATAGTGTTGTAAGCTGCACATGCTGTGCTGAATATACCAGAGTTCCTCCAAAGTGCTCTTGATCTGCAAAGTTTGATTAATAAACTAGGTTGCCTCAGCCTTTAAATGCTTCCTGTTTCCATCTTTGCTAACATTTGTATGCAGAAATCCTGTCAGCATCCTAAGATACTGTCTCTGCAGTAACACATTTGGGAATTGTTCCCTAGATGAAATCATAATGATCCTTGGAATGGGAATCTGGGACTCATCTCTCGCCTGGGTGTGTTTTCTTCCCCAGTGCTATTTTGTCATGGAATCCGAACACCTGCAGATTATGGTGTTTAAGTGCCTCCT